AGATACGCCAGAATTTTTACCAGGGCAGCCGGACATCGTTCCAGAACTTGTGAAGTTTGCTGACGAACTCTTTGATCAGCGACCAGATTTGTTTGCCGTAGGTAACCAGCCATCGATGGACCTGTTTGCTGGTCTGGACGAACGACCGACAGAAAACGATCAGCAACTAACGGAAACTCAATCGAGCACGACGGCCACAACAAAAAGAAAAAGAAGGAAACCGACGAGGTGGGGACCGGAGCTAGAAAGATGGATGGTGGAAGTTCCTGAGTCTGGTGAAGATCTATAAGAGCAAACGTCGGGACGACGTTTTAGAGGGTGGGGAGCTTTGTGAAGTTGTGACGATTGTGATGATAATGATTGCGCGATTGAAATATGCCGCCTGTATTGTGATGGTAATGATTGCGCGATTGAAATATGCCGCCTGTATATTTTGTGAAATTGTGACGATTGTGATGATAATGATTGCGTCTTTGAAGCGTGCCGCCTATATATATCTATATATTTTACTAGACATTCTATGCATGTGTGAAGTTGTGACGATTGGGATGATAATGATTGCGCGATTGAGATATGCCGCCTGTATGGTGATGATAATGATTGCGCGATTGAAATATGCCGCCTGTATATTTTGTGAAATTGTGATGATAATGATTGCGTCTTTGAGGCGTGCCGCCTATACATATCTATATATTTTACTAGTCATTCTATGCATGTATATTTTGTTATTTGATATGCTATATAAGCGACGCTGCTGTGCTGTATCGCTTTTCTGAGTATAGGAAGAGAGTATAGATAGGAGTATAGAATTTTCTATGATATAGAAAGCATTATGTAGATAGGGTGGTAAAAACATATAAAAGGCCGCGAGTTAAGATATTGAGGGGCGGGTCGTCGGTTATCTTAATTTTAGGTTTTGGTCTCTTGCTTGTCAGTTGTATTATTAATAGATTAATTTTGGACTTATCGTTTTGTTTTAATAAGGACAGAGGTTTGATTTGTATTATTTTGTTTGTTATTTTATTTCTTTTATTGAATAAAAGAAGTATACACTTAAAGTTTGGCTCGGCTTAATTATTCTACCTAAAATAATGGATGTTGAAGAAGACTTGTTGATAGTTGACGAGGTCGGCGTCTCTAGTCAACAAGCAGGGTGCGAACAAACTTCCGCCCGGCCCGTGTTTTCAGACCCTGAGAGGGTCTATTGTAGAGTGGCGGATCCCGGCCAGGAAAGACTCCGCCGAAGCGAAGGCTCGGGTGGATATTCGTATGCGGACGCGGTTCGGGACCGCGTGGTGCGGAATTCGAATGTCGCCCGGCGAAAATCTACACATGTATATTTTGTTATTTGATATGCTATATATGCGACGCTGCTGTGCTGTTTTGTATATAGGGAGCATGGAATTCTCGATAGTACTACTGGAAACCAAGGTGATATTTGCGCGTTGACCTTATTAGGCCATTGATTGAGGTGTTTGCAATGTAATAACAAGACGAAAATCGTGGTTGTTTAATAGTTGTTTATTTATGCATCAAATACAATTAAAAATATATACATATACATATAAATTTATTCATTTATTTAAAAGATATAATTGAAATGTACGTATAACATAATACTATCATATTTATATAAAACTAGGAAACAAATGAACAAATAGAAAACTGTTAAAAACAAATTTCAATTTAATTTAGTTAACTTTCTTTTTTTACTAAGAGATAAACCGTTAACATTTTCATTTACACTTTTAACAAAGTTTTTTGTCAAGCAATTAAAAAACCGTTCAGCAATCATACGTTTTACATCATGACTTTTAACACAGTAATTATTATCAATGATAATAGCATCCTCAATGACAAGCATATCAACAATTTTGCAAAAAAGACTCTTCTGGTTGGATGAAGTGAGAAAATTTTTCATGATGGCCTCAGACTGTTTCATTCCTGCAAATATCTTCCAACAGTCTATGAAATTGATTCAACGAATTCAGCCTCAAATGCAGGTACCCGTCATTATTTAAGCCGCTATTTACTTTTACTTTCTTCGTTAATTTGTTCAATGTGTTTACTGATGGTAGGCACATAATATTCAATTCATACAACTTAACATAAGCTGCATGACTAGCAGCATATAATAAATAGCACCATATAATTTGTTGTGGAGTGTAAATTCTTCCAAATTTGTTAACACCAATCAGTTTTAGTTGGTCAATTAAAAATTGTAATTGTGATTTAGAAACTTCGTCATCAACAGAACCCAAGCAACATTTTAATTGTTGTTTAGCTGCAGCTTTGGCTTCATCAAAAGTTACTTTCGCATGATCAGTTTGCAAATTTTTAAGTCTAGCCATCACATTCAATAGCTGATTCATGGTGTCAACTTTTTTGTTGATGATGCCTTCAACAAATGATTTTGAAACTTCTCGACCTTTGTTAAACAGGGATATATTTTTTTGTTCATCTATGGTGATAGATGATTTGATATGAGGGCAACAGTTGTCAAAATGTATTTCATACAATACCAAACTGTTTTCGAAGATTTGATATTGGTATCCACTTGGAGCAGATGTTTCCTTTTTTAAACGATATAGAATTTCTTCTAAACTCAAATTTATTATCTGATCACTTTTGTTGAATTCATTTTCAAGTTCATTTATTCTTTTTATTTCACCTTCTCGACGACACGCAGCAGATAAATTTGTTGTAGGTCTCGGTAGATGCTCGATTGTTGATGCGTATGATGGTGCATTAAATATTGTTGGAATTGTTCCAGGCTTTAATTCTCGCTTGATTCTTGACTCACTATTGCTTGTTTTGTTTTTATATCTTGTTGAATTTGTATCAGAATATTTATCAACAAAATCCAAAGGTCGAAAATGCAAAGAGCACATCTTTGAATGTCTGCTTGGAATAAAATCCCTTCGTGGATTTGCCTTATTCCACTTTGCACAAAGTTCAGGATCATTGACTGGGTAGGAATGAAAAGACACTTTGTTTTCAGCATCTATCGCAGCATTTGATTTGTATCCACTTTTGCAACCATAGGCAGCACACTTGTTCACCATTTTAGGTAGTAGTTTACTGTAATTGTAATGTTAGTTTAAAATCATATTTAATATAAATCTTGAATAAATGTAAAATTTAATATATTATATTCTCAAGTCGCCCTGGTTATGATGTTAAAACTAGAAATCCAAAAGAAAAAAGATAGCGGCAAGTCCACTACTGCATTTAAACTTAAACAGGTTTAAAGGTAGAGAATCATTTTCATTCATTCATAAAAATGCTCAACCTCATTTTTTTTGTGATAATAAAATGGACGTCAAAGGAGAAATAGACTAATAAAATATTCCTTAAATATACATATTAATTTTAGTAATTAAAAGTTTTAAGCAAAATTTACTTTACTTATCTTATTCTTAATACCTTAAAAATTAAAATGTTATTTATTTATGCAAAAAAACATAAATCAAATAATAACCAATATTAGAAGTGCGGGTACAGATCAATAAATAAATTGTTGTTTAATAAATTCATTCATCTTCAACTTTTTAATCCAGAAATAGTTTTGTGTAAATTTAATTTAAGAAAATAAACCAATATATATAAAAATTAAATCTAAAATAAATGTTCTCTAAATAACTCCTAACTAACTAACCGACTGTGAAGTAATAATAATCGAAATTGCACTTTTAGCAAAAGTAAAATTGCTCCAAATTTAAGATGTTACGGAAATTTTTAAAATAATTTAAAAATGATTTAAGTTTGTTATAATACCTATTTTACACGATTTTATCACCAAAATAAAATTAAAACATTGGAAAATAGCAACAATCAACAAGAATATATAGGCATGCACGATCGGAACGAATAAAGAAAATTAAAGGAAGTAAAAAAAGATTAACAATGAAATTTAACATGCTGCTAGTTAGTCTATTTGCATCTATGAATTCCAGTAGTTTAATATCAACCTATAAACTATATAATATGTATCTAATATTTATGTAATATATTATAAATGCAATAGCCTAATATGGTCAGAGTTGAAAACCGTGAAACGTTCACCTTGCAGTCCAGATATATAGCTATCGAGACGTCCATGATAGGGAGTATAGCAATATATGGGACGCGTGCTACGCGCTGTTCTGAGTATAGGAAAAAAGTATAGATGCGAGTATAGAATTTTCTATGATATAGAAAGCGTTATGTAGATAGGGCGGTAAAAACATATAAAAGGCCGCGAGTTGAGATATAGAGAGGCGGGTTAGGTTTTGTTTCTTGCTTGGTAGTTGTATTATTAATAAATTAATTTTGGATTTATCGTTTTTTTTTTATAAAGACAGAGGTTTGATTTGTATTATTTTGTTTGTTATTTTATTTCTTTTATTGAATAAAAGAAGTGTACACTTGAAGTTTGGCTCGGCTTAATTATTCTACCTAAAATAATGGATGTTGAAGAGGACTTGCTAATAGTTGACGAGGTCGGCGTCTCTAGTCAACAAGCAGGGCACGAACAAACTTCCGCCCGGCTCGTGTTTTCAGACCCTGAGAGGGTCTATTGTAGAGTGGCGGATCCCGGCCAGGAAAGACTCCGCCGAAGCGAAGGCTCGGGTGGATATTCGTATGCGGACGCGATTCGGGACCGCGTGGTGCGGAATTCGAATGTCGCCCGGCAAAAATCTACAAATACATTTACGGCAGTCTTTATGGCTAGAACCTATAGTTAGCTTGAAGTTTATGGCCTCTTGTACGAACAACGTGTGCAAACAGTAACGTAAGGACAACATCGGCAGGAAGCTGACTATGTATTATTCTATATAACAAAATAAGGTCGGCTTTTAGTTTCCATTGATAAGATTAGTACTTAACTGATAAATATTATCATTATTAATTAACATTCTCGTTAATTTCGTCATATTTATTAATATGACCACTAATTTTGTATGCAGTATTTTTAAACTGAAAGTGAATGAATGAACGAACGAATGAATGAATGAATGAATGAATGAATGAATGAATGAATGAATGAATGAATGAATGAATGAATGAATGAATGAATGAATGAATGAATGAATGAATGGTGTTCCTCTTGTTGATAGTCTACGAACGTGAAAATTTTCACATATTATGACGTGAAATATTTGTTGATATAAATTTGCAAATAATTAGAGCCATCAATTTCCATTCAACGTTGTGACGAACGATAGAAAATTTTAAATATTTTTAACAACCCGACCTAAAAACATTGAAAGTTTATTAATGGAATATGAAAAATTATTGGAAAAAAACCAAAATTAATCGAGTTGAAAATAAGAATGCAGCACGCTTGGGAAATAAAAATTTGGAAAATACGAACAACTTAGGAATTTATATAAGAGTCGACGATGATTTTTCAAAGGAGGATTACGAAAACGATGTCAACATGGCGATGTGTTGTTCCTGTCTCGTGTGTTGCTTCTGTGGAGGCATCATGGGCATAACAAGCTTTCTCTTTGCTAGTTTGCATTTCATTTACATTTTGAAACAAATACACAAAAATGATCGTGCTCTCAGTAAATTGTTTTTTTTTGTATTTTTTAAGTTGCTTGCTTTTTTAAACCATAATTTATTTCAAAAAAAAACTTTGACTGAAAATATGTGTCCTTCTTTCTTGCTGTTTCTTTTGATTCGGCCTGCACCAATACTATTCATAGCATTGTTAGAAACAGCAACAGAAAACACTCCATGGCTTGACGGTAATTCTTGATCCTAAACGTTTCATAATTATCCCAAGTTCCCGTGTGGTTTTGTGCGGATCTGCTTTAATAATTGCCCTCACTTCCTCGTTATCAACCTTATATCGTCTCCCTCGACACCATCTTCATCTTCGAGGCCAAAATCACCAGAACGGAACTTGTTAAAAGTTAAACCATCTTTGTGTGGTTCATTTAGAAGTACTTGAATCTCCCCATGCTTGTATAACATTTCGAGTTTCCCCTGCGGAATAACGGCCGAATTTGAATTTATAAAGCAAAATCAAGCCAATTTCACGCTTCAACAACATTTTTTGAAAAACTTAAAGGCCGATAAAATAAACCACCACGTTAATCATTCTAATGTATTTACATAGATAAACAATAAAATTTTATTTTTTAAAATGATATATCATATTTAGTGGTAACCAAAAATAAATTCCTAAAAATAACTCCAAGAGGTTGAACCTAGTAAAAAGCGACATTATTTTCTCCTCAACCTAATATTTTCTTTCTCTTTTGCATTAACTTACTGCATTTCTTTTCATAAACTTATATAAATTTTATTAATTTATGTGTATTCCCATAAGCGATATATTTTAATAAGTACTGCTGTACACTCAAAAGTGTTGTACTTTTGAAAGTGACATTGTTCTCATATACATTCTGTTTTATTTTTTAAGTTCTTTTAAACTCTCATAAGTAATTAATGTTGTACTCTCATCAGTGCCGTTCTTAGGAGGGGGCGCCAGGTAACTTGGGGCGCCAAAGCTGCCTGCAATATAAAAACTAATAAAAATTAATTTACTATTCAAACTATACTATTAGTTAAAAATACTTTAATGAAAAAAATTATAAATTTTATTATAATTTTTTAAACGTTTTTGTAACTAGAATTCATTTTGTGCCATTGTGTCCATTGCGGTGCCACATATTTTATGTTTCGCCTAAACTTATTTATGATTATTGGTACGTTTTGCGACAATTTGAAATGAAATGATATGAAATGATACTCATTTGGAAGCTAAAATTGAAAGTCTCAAAGCAATTCGATACCAAATAAATAGCGTGCATGATGCTTTAATTACTGTATATGAAACTGATACCAAAACTCCTGATATTGCCCACGATGCACTTACATTTGCAGAACAATTAAAAAATTATCGTAGTTTTCTAATCTCTTTTATTGCATGGTACAATGTACCGTTTCAGATGAACGCTGTTAGTAAAGCGATGCAGGCCAAGGACATGAATATGGTGCAGTGCACTGAAATGCTGAAAAATGTATTAAGTATTTAGAAAATTACAGAATGTTTGGTTTTAAACAAACAATGGTTGATCCTAAAGAATTAGTTGAAGAATTAAACTTTGAGCCTGTATTTAAACCAATGAAAAGAGTGCGACGAGTGAAACGTCATTTCGATGAAAATGCTGCTGACGAACCAATCCAGGATCCAAAGAAGAAATTTGAAGTGAAATTCTTTAACCCCTTATTAGACATGTGTCTATCACCAATGAAAGAACGATTTATACAATTTGATAAATATGTTAATGTATGATTTTTTTTTATTTAATTTTGATAATTTACCCATAAAACATAAACTTTTCAAATTGTGTAGAGTTGCATGAAAAATTAACCATTTGTTTAAAATCTGATATTTATGGTGCTTTGCTATGTGACAAACTAATAAGTGCTCAGTTGTTTTTTAAAGATAAAATAGGTGAAGTAGAAGTTGAAAAAATATAAAAAAATAACACCCTCCGAAGCTACCTATCTTCCATTGCTAATATTAATAATACATAAAGGCGCGTCTACAAGTTTTGCCCGATCTATGAAAAAAGCCAAAGCCAGCGCTGACTCTCGTAAATGTTGTTGTACTTTGATATGTTTGTTATGTTTTGTTTGTTTCTTTGCAGTTTAAAGGCGTTTTAGCACAAAGAGGCTATCTTTACACCCTGGGGTCATCACAGTACTGGTTTTATGACTATGTATTTGGAGCTTGTCAACTCTTTAAATCTTGTTTAGCATATTGATCTCCTTCAGAAACGAGACCAAAACTTCCAGATTCCTACTTTGGAACATCGACTCCACAAACAAGACTTCACTGTATATCTTGCACTCTATTAGTATATGAGTGGATTGATTTTTATTGCAAATTTTACAAAAAAGAGGGTTTGTTTTTTTGAGGATCCAGAAATGGGTGACTGCCGAATGGCCTATTTTTAATCTATTAATTTTAGTTTGCATACGGCGATTTAAATAAGTATTTTTAATTGTTTTGTTATTTACTGTCGGTGTAACTTAACTTTAATATGTGCTATTGTACTTTCAC